TTAGAAATTCACTAATACTGAAGCCAAATGTACTAGGTTTACTTACTTTCATCCAAGTGGGAGCAGCTTATGATTTCTGAACTTTCTGGACTATCAACAGCTATATTATCCATTTTCTTTTATTTTTAATTATCTATTTTGGTGCCAGGGGTTTGAACCTACTAGGGCTTGTACATTGTAAGTATGTGCACTATGACTGAGCTATACCTCCAGCCCCATAAGATAAAATTTTGAGATTTTAACTTTCATAGGTTTTTACAAATATTTTTGGTTTTTCTTGGTGCCTTTTTGTTGTCTGTACACACCAAACAGCCTTCTCAAAAAACAAATGAAAACCAAACACTGAAGTTTACCACAACAAGGTTGCAGGCCAAGGGCTAGATGGTGCCCACTCAGCCTAATGAGGACGAAGGTGTGCATTTCATTCAAGTCAGCTTCTTCCTTTGAAATTCAGATCCAAACACACTCCTTTTGGAACACTTCTCCTTCAGTAAGACTACTCTATTAGGTTGCACACATATGCTCAGTTTTATTCCATACCGATTTGCTTGTGTTGACATACTGTGAAAGCCTGGTGAAGTAATGGTAATGGACCTGGCCTCTGTCACCCCGGGCCTATTCGTCATATCCTGATGAGACTGCGGCAGCCACTGCTGCTCAACTTGTATTGCCAGGACCAGGCATTCAGGGAACCGGAAGCCAGATATTCCTTCAGGGAGTAGTGGGTGGGTGGTAACTAATGAACAGGGTCCTAGGTGCTGGGACACAAACCCAACTCTAGTTGACAGGGAGGCTGTGAAGCCAAAAAAATCTTAAATACAACATCCCAGGTATCTGGAGGTATCTCTGTGGTATCACAGACCACTGGACTCAGGTGCTTCATGATGACAGTATGAGAGATCTGGGAAAAAGAATTTAACCCCACATGTAGAAACTAGAGGCCTCTCCTCTGTTCTGTAAGAACCCAAGGAAGACAGTGTATATCTACAGGAGGCCTCTGGGCAGCTGGTGCTTCAATACGGGGGTCAGAGGGATCCAGAGTGAAATAAAGAGCTCTCAATCAATGCCTGTAATCCAAGAGTTCGGGGAGACTGAAGTAAAGGATTGCAAGTTTGAGCCTGGCCTGGGCAATTTAGTGATTTGGCACGATCTTGTCTCAAAATAAAATATAGGCTGAGGATATAGCTCAGCAATCAGGTCCTGGGTTCAATCCCTCGTATTGAAAAAAAAAAAGAAGAGGTTTCAGTCATTAGAAAGCAATGTTCACGATTCAAAGAGTGATAGCAAACACTTGCAGACCCATTATTTTCAACAGACATAGTGACTGGAAGATAAAGAAGCCAGATCTATTGGAAAGACATGAGTTTTAGACAGTATTTAGACAGATGTCTACACCATGGCCAAATCGGGGCTTTGCCCGTGAGACTGTCAGATGCTATGATCTGCTCCTGGCCTGTGTGACAGCTTGGGGCCCCAGCCCTACTCTCCAGCTGCTCCCTCTCTCTGCTGGATCACCCTCCTCTACCCAGACCTAAACTACAGAGTCCTGCAGGCTTGTTCCCGGGTCCTCGTCTTGCAATGCTTCTGCTTTAAGTTTGTTCCTCAATGTTCACGCGCTGGTAACTTGGCCCCCAGTAAGTGGTGCTAAGTTGATGGAACCTTTAAGACATGAGGCCCAGTAGGAGGTCATTAGGTCACTAGGCTGTCACCAGTGAAACAGATTAAAGTAATTCTTATGAGACTTGATTATTTCTTGCAAGAGTGAGTTATAAAAAGAGCCAGATTGGCTCTTGATTCTCTGATTTCCTGTTGTGTCTTGTATTAAATTCTTGTGTACATCCCATCTTGTTCCTCACTAGAAGCCAAGCAGGTGGGGCTGCCTGATCCTAGACTTTCAGCCTTTAAAACTGTGAGCTAACACTCACAGGTTTATTTATTCTAAATAAACTATTTTTCATTATCAAGTACCTGACCTATAATATTCAGTTATACGAACAGAAACTGACTCTTATAGCTTTTCTCAGGTTGTAGACACTGAGTGATTTTCAGCCACATAGTTTTAGTACCATCTGTGTGTGCCCTGTCCAATGCAGTAGCCATTTATGACCTATGGCTATTTAACTGAAATTAGTTAAAAAAGATTTCAATTCTTCAGTCACACTAGCCACATTTCATGTGCTCAATTTCCCATGTGGCTGATGGCTGCCATATTGGATGATATAGACAGAGAACATTCCCCTCCTCTCAGGAAGGTCCACTGTGCAGTGTCCACCCGTTTCTGATGGTCACTCACACTATACCTCCCTCTTGGGGCTTCCATCTGAACACCAGACTTGCTATCTAGTTATCTTCTTGACATTACCACCTGTATATTTCAGATTCAATATGATTTGAAACACAACTTTTTCTCTTTTAAACTGTTTAATCCTTTCTAGACTGCTTCATAGATTGCAACCAACATAATTGTGCTTTAAAAATTTAACATATTCTGTGGTGGTTAATTTTATGTGTCTACTTATCTATACTGGTAACTGGATATTTTGCTAAATGTTATTCTAGATGTTTTGGCAAAAGATATTTAGATGGTAAGATTAACATTTAAGTCAGTAAGTTCTAAGTAAAGCAGACGACCTGGTATGATTTGGGCGTGTCTAATCCAATCAGTTGAAGACTTTCATAGAGAGATATTAACTTCTTCCAAAAAGAGGGAGACCTGCCAATAGATGGCATGTGGCCTTAACTATCAACTCTTCCTTGAGTCAACCTGCCAGATCACCCTCCCTACGGATTCTGGACTTCCTAGCTTCTATAACTGTAAAGTGAGTCCTTAAAGTTTCACCTCCTTTCTACCTTGACAAACGCCCAACACTGGTGTTTCTCTGAAGAACCTTACTTAACATCTTAAAAATTTATTATCACTTTGCTTATCACTGCCATGATTACTCTCCTTATCGTTTAACAAGAAAGGTAATGACTATTTAATCCTGGCGTGGGATCATGAAAATAGAACTGTTAAACTTCTCTTTGCTGTCCCTGTCCTTGAAAACAGTCTTGTCAAATTGGACACTGGAAAGTGGTCTCTGACTCGTTCTCCCTCCTACGACCAACTTGCTGCTAAGTCCAGGTGGTTCTGTCTCTGAGACATATTTTGCATCCTATCTAACTTTCCTGCTGTGACCACTCTAGTCTCAGTTAACCGGTGAAACTAAGGAGATTGAGCTTTCTAAGCGACTCCTGCAATGGCCTCCTAACTCAGAGCTCCTCCTTCATTTTTGTTTCCTTTCCACTTTATATTTTCACATAAGTCAGAGAGCTCTTTCATAAATATGTCTCTCCACTGTTTAGAATTATACAGGAAGCAGAACGCAACCTTGTTACCAGAGCCATTCTCGGAGGGGAGCTCTGAAGGTTATGGCCCTCTCTACTTACTCCCTGGCCTCACAGGCCACTCTTCCCTCCCTTCCAGAACCCAGTGCCTTCTTTCCCCACGTCCTTGCCAGCACCCAGGGTTCCCTTGCTCCTGCTGCTCTTTTGCCCTGGGAAGCTTTGTCGGTGCTTTGCATGGCTGCCCCCTTCACATTAACTCTTCAGAGAGCACCTTGAGTGCAGCCTCCCTGGAAAGGCCATGTCAGTCTCCTGACCTAAACGGGGTCACTTGGACCTGGGGCTGCAGTTCAGCACTAGAATGCCTGCCTGTCACAGGCAAGGTCCTTGGTTCCACCTTATGTATAAATAAATATGAAAGATTCCTACTATTCACTCTCACAGCACTGTTCTACTCTTGGTTCTTACAATTATTTATAATTTTACTTGCTATAAATTACTTCATTTGTTTATTGTCTGTCTCCCACATAAGGGCATGCAGAACAGGACTGTTGCTTAGTGTTTCCTGTAAACCATGGTTGGCAAAAAACCATTTGCGTGGATGAGTACAGGGCCCAGCATGGTGCTTCCCAAAGCATACTCTGTGGAACGTGACTTTGTAGGATGTTATAGCTCAGGAATTAGTATAATACTGCCCATAGGCCAAATCTGGCTTACATCTCATGTTTATAAATAAAATTTTACTGGAACACAGCCATGCCCGTTCATTCACGTGTAGTACATGGACACTTTTACTTGATGGCAGAGTTGTGTGTTTGTGTAAGAGAACAACTGACTCACAAAGCTAATTATTTGGGTTTTAAAGAAAAAGTATGCCAACTTTTATTTTTGGATGCACTAGGGATTGAACCTAGGGCCTGTGCACTGAGTGTTCCTGGCCCTTTTATTATTTTTTATTGTGAGATAGGTCTTACTAAGTTGTCCAGGCCGATTTTAAAGTTGTAACCCTCCTGTCTCATCTCTCAAAGTGCTGGAAATATAGGTGTGCACCACATCTGGCTTGTCAACTTTGTTACGGGTGGTTACAGTAAAACTAAAACAAGTCGAAAGATTCTGTGGATATGATATACACTGCAGTAAACAAAGTCACGTGTATTTCTTTAATAATGTTCAACATCTTGAAGTCCTTAATGTGCAACTAGAAATGTGATATGCAGTTTCCATATTTGAGCAGGAATCATTTGGATGGTATTTGTTGGTTCTTTGAAACTGACTTTGTTTTGCTTTTGTGGTGCTGAGGAATTAAATGCTGTGCAAATGCTCTGTCACTGAGCTGCAATTCCAGCCCCGGAATTAACTTTGAAAAATCTGTCCAAGGTTAGAAACCATGAAGAAGATCAGATTTCATCAGAGATTTCTCTGGAAACTGCATGACAAGAACTTCTTAGTAGCCACAGCAAAGCCTTCATTGTGTTTTCCTAGGTAAGAAGGGGAATTGTGGAGGGAAGCTGAGAAATATTTACTGAGGATGGGACTCCTGGTGCAGTCAGCAGTTACCGTGCCGGAATCAATCGTCTAATGTCTAAGCCAGCTCTATACATGCTACCCTATTGGATATATCAACAGAATTAGGAATTCCCCTTTTGTTCCTAAGAACCAAGAGCGCTGTGACTTACCTTCTCCTGACTGTTCAGCTCCTGGTACGGGATATGGGCAGGCAGGTAGGTGTGCAGCAGAGCACAGAAGGCCAGGCCGTCGCTCCAGCTACTGCTGAAATTGGTGATGTCAATGTTCTGTGGGGCAAGAACAAGTAGAATTAAATCCTCAAATTGTGCGGTGTCACAGAATACAAAGGAGATTGTATTTAGACAGGTATGGAGCTTTTGATATGGCAACTTGAGTTACATGAATAAACTACCCAATCTGCTGGAGTACATTTAATTTTGGTACCAAGACTAGCTTGGTGTTACTCAATTTGTGCATAGGTAGCATTAAGAAAGGTGTCAGCACCCAAAACAGTAAGGAATTACTGTCTAACCCCTTCCTGGGAGGCTCCCTAAAGGCTGAGATATCTCGTTTCAAATTAGTCCCACTGATCAGCTTCGTATATCTCAGCATTCCTCAGACTCATCTGGTGAAGGAAAAATCAATATTACCATTGTCATCATCACCACCACCACTACCACCACCATGTAGAACTCTATCTGCATCAATTTCCTTAGCTTGCTTCTGCTTATACCCTCCTTCCTTTGACTGGAAAGGCTGCTAGAGTGGAAGAGAGAACTTCTCAGGTTAAATGGGCTCTCTATTATCAAATAGGGACCACCAGTGGGAAACACGACTCTTCTTTCAGGACAGATGGAGCTCTTGGAGGCTGCTTGGTATGCAGTCATACAGAAGGCAAAAATCCAACTTTTAAGGTGGACATGGGGGCACATGCTTGTAATCCCAGCACTTGGGAGGCTGAGGCAGCAGGACTGTTGCAAGTTCGAGAACAGCCTGGGCTACAAAGTGAGCTTGAAGCAGGCTAAACTGCATAGTGAGATCCTGTCTCAAAAAAAAAAAAAAAAAGTCTCCCAGACAGGTTCTCAGGCGCTGGACACTCCAAAGGACCTCTTCCTCTCAGATCCTCAGATCTTCCCTGCTTACCCTCAGGTTTTCTTCCCTGCATTCACAAGCCAAATATGGCACGAAGTCAGATTGGAATAGGGAAAGGGGATTATGGGAGTAATCTTGAAGTGTGTATAATAGCAGTTCTGGAGAATTACATAGATGGAAATGTAATCAAATGCAGTATAATGTTTTCTGGGAAACTTTCTTAGTTTCCTGATTTTGAGAGTGACTCCCTATGACTTTATTTGGGATTTTTATTTAGATTTCCCCTCCTCCTCCTCAGGATTAGTTCAAGCTAGCCTGGCTCTTAGCAATGAAGCTGGTCGAACACCTCACTAGACAGACAAATCAAGGCTGAAAGAGGTGGTGTGCATATGGCTTACCTGAATGGCAAAGACACCAGGAACCCACATCCCCACCTTTCTACAAACCTCCTCTGGTTTCCAACCAGAGTCCAGGATGACCCTGATGGGCCCCAGAGATTCCTCCCAAAATGCAGGCTGTCAGATGTGTTCCTGAGTCTGCTTTGCAATTACCTTCATTCAGAGGAGGATACTGGGCTGATAGATAGCAACACACCACTGTAATAATACCTCTTCACTCTGTTGAACAGGACTCACGGACAACTGACTGATGACAACTGCCCAGTGTCCATATTACACAGAATTCTGAGAAGGCCCTGGCTGCAAGGGGCCCCTTCTGGTTTTTGGGTCAACTGTATGTTTAATGGGAACCCCTGGGAAGCTAGTCATTTAGGTTTTTATCTTCAAAGCCCTTTTGGATTCAGCAGCTACCTGGTGAGGTCAGGATACTGCTTTGGAAAAAGGACTCCCTTTGATTTTCTGAAGAGGTTTGTGTATTCAAAAAGCAGAGGGAAGAAACAGGTGAGAGGCCGAGCTCACTTAACCAAACTCTGGGAAGAGAAGCACAGGGGAAAGGAGAAAGCCTTGGGATACGCACAGCATCACAGTACGTACAAAATCTAATTCCTTTCTTTTCTTTCTATCCCACACACAGGCTGCTTAAGCTCCCATCTTCAAACCCATCTCTCATACGGATGTGCTGTGGAGGAGTCAAATCCGGGTTTTACTTTCAGAGGTCACCCATTCTCGTGTATCGCTCACGATGACTCCTATGGCATCTGTCAATGGGACAAGCACCACAGCTCGCCTGCAAGCACTCCTTTTGCAAGGCAACATCAACATCTGTAATCTCATTTCTAACAAAAGGTTGTATTTCAAGCAGGAAGTTAAATGTTCAGGGATCAAGACAAGAATCCCATAAGTATGAGTCCTAAGAATCAAGATTCAAAAATGGTGGTGGTGCTAAGATCACTAACATTTGGTGTCTTTGATGTGCTTGTCACTGTGCACTTGATCACCTGATTTTTAGAACTTCTAACCATTTACAGAAAAGAGCAGCAACAAGAAGAAAATGGCTAGCACAGGGGCCAGGACTGGAACACCAGTTCTGGGTGATCTCAAAGCACCTACGCTATGTTTGCTATGAGATATTTCCACACAGGGAAGAAAAAAGTGAGTGGGGGCACAAGGCAGGATAACACAAGCATGGCGTTCACCACCACTCACAGTGTGGGAGGAGCCCTGCATTAGGGAAGAGTGGACAAGAAGGCTGAGGAAGGAAAACACCTCAGAGATCAGCGCAGCACGGTCAGACACAACAGAGCGGAGGAAATCACTCCCTGCCATCCATTTAATTTAAACAGCACCGCCGGCTATTCCTCCCTTTGTCCTGAGACAGCTCAGCAGATTGCTGATGCTCTAGGCGACAGCCTGTGTGCTGGACCTCCTGACCTGACCTTCGGTCACCTTCACTTTACTATGAGTTGATACATACTACATGTCATCATGCATGTAACTAAAATCAGAGTGAATTCTGGGACCAGCACGTGTGCTGAAGGCCCCTGAGATGTCATGGCGCCCTGTCAATCACTCCTGTTGATCACATCTAGAGATTCCACAGAGGCACCTGGGCTGAGGTATACAGCCTTTAAATTCTGAGAGCCTGATTTACTGGGGGGTGTTGCTGATTCTGTGTGTCGGCTTTTGCTTTTCTGGCAGCCAGGCACCATATTTCTGTTTGTACTGTATCTTTTGTCAGCACAAATGAACCATGAGCACAACTGTCTGTGATCTTCATAAATGTAGCTGTTCGCCACTTGTTATTGGGTGTACACTTGGCAAATCTTTGCTCGTCATACACAAGAGCTGGGACTATACCTGCCCATTACATGGTAACACTAGGCTTGAACTCTGACTCTCACTTCCTTAATTAAATACACAAGAACCATGTTTTCTGTGCTTGATCACCAGGAACAGGGTCTGGGGAAGATGGTATCACTGTCTTAAGGAACTAATGTGTCTAGCAGGCCAGATTCTCCCGCCTTGGTTACTTTTCTCTTGCTGCTGGGACAAAATACTGGACACCCAAAATGAAGGAAGAAGCTTACAGTGTTTGGAGGTTTCAGTCCATAATCAGCTGGCTGCAAGGCAGGGTGGCAACACTTCAAGGCTGCAGCCAGCAAAAGCAGCCAGAGAAAAGGGGTGTACTGTACACAGGCCACCCCCGCCTCTCCAGGGCAGGGTTAGCACTCACAAAATATCTGTGCCCTCCTTCCCACTGGATGAGGGTACTTACAAAGTGAGGATCCTGGCTCCCTGCTGAGACTCTCAGTTAAAGCAAACTTCTCAAGTTGATACAATGTGTCAACCATAACACATTCCTCTTCCCTATCCAAATTTACTTTATACCTAAAGCTTTTAAGACTTGTTAAGTGTTTTTTTCCCAAAATATATGAACATTTAAGAACATCTATTTTGTGTCATTTATGATGCTGTTAAAATTATGGGGCTACTGATTTGGACAAAGCACTTATACCAGGCCCCAATATACCACATCTTTCATGCTAAATGCTCCATTAGCATGCTCCAACTGCAAATCTTTTTTTTTTTTTTTTTTTTTTGGTCTTTTTGAGAGTCTAACTATACAGTTCAGGGTGGCCTTGGGCTCACTTTGTAGCCCAGGCAGGTTTCAAACTTGCAATGATTCTCCTGACTTAGAGCCTCCTGAGTGCTGGGAGTATAGGAATGTGCTACCACACCCAGCTTCCAACTGAAACTTTAAGGACAGATGCCAAGACAGACCAGTTTTCTCAGAAAACTGGGTTTCAGGCTACCTGGGTCAGCATGACAAGGAAGTCTCTGCTTTCAGATTTACAAAACCGTAGCTTGAAATCATTCACATTAACCACTGGGTTTTGTTTTGTGTGCCTGCACTGTTCTGTTTTCTTGTTTGCACCTTACAAAACTCATGTTATGACAGTGGGAACTCTGTTTAGTATCACAGAGGTTGTCTTGATTCACAAATCAGGAATAAAAGCCAGAAAGACTTACAACTACACTTTTGATTTTGTCTTCTGAAACACAGTATGAAAAACCTCACTGTTCTTCATCAGCACAATCCTCAGGAGCATTTTGAGAGGTCAGATGGATCTAAAGTATGATGAAATTATCTCACAAAACCAAGAAAGGGCCCACTGGTTAACTGAGTCATTTAACAGTTGTTCTGAGCCAGTGCTTTGGCTCAGTGGCATAAGTGCCTGCTCAGCAAGTGTGAGATTGTGAGTTTGATCCCTGGTACCAAAAAACAAACAAGAAAACAGAAAATAATAAAAACAAAAAAGAGTAGTAGTTATTTTGCTTTTGTTTTTGGAGAGGGTAGAGTACTGGGGATTGAACTTATAGCTACATGCATACTAGGCAAGCGCTTTACCACTGAGCCGTGTCTCCAGCCCTTAAATCTTGAGACAGGTACTCATTAGGTTGTTTGGGTTGGCCTCAAATTAGCACGCAGCAGCATCTTGAGTAGCTGGGACTACAGGCATGTGTCAACATGCCTGGCTGGCCCATTTAAGAATTGTTCTTGATCTATAACTATAAAAGAATAACATAATAGTTTGATCTTAGATCTTGCAAGATCAAAGCCATGTTAGAAATAGCAAACAAAACTGACTATTGCTTCAAGAGTATCTTGCCTTTTAAATAAGGATTTATTACAAAAACTCTCAATTTAGTCTGGTAATTAAATCCAATATCACTTTTAATTGAAGATTATATTCTTCATGGTTAAGATTTACTGTCCTGGCAATGGCAAAGATACA